ACTCAGCAATAATAAATTAATTAGAAATTAAGTTTTTATATTTTGATTAATTACTTATCATCATTTAGATGGTTCGAAAAGATTACCTTGACAAGACATTCGCTTGCTCGATAATTAATATTATATTTGATCATCAGAGGATACAGAAATTCTTATATTCTTCTCATACCATGTACTGATAATAATATGGATAGTCAATAAAAATAGTCAATTAATGATGACTATCCATCAGTATATGGAATTAAACAATACTGACAAAAGATGTAACCTCAACTTATTTGAATTAGAAATAGAAATACAGAATTAGAAATAGTTTTGCACAAAACAAAAAAAGAAATCAGTTAGTCACCATTCCTAACGCCATAGAAATGGAGAGAAGTTAAATAGGGAAAATATTTGAATAAATAAATACTGCTAACATCATTTAAAATAACCTCATATAAGCAAACATTCCAGACATCCCAATTCAGAGAGACACTTTTCTGCCTACAAGGATATGCAGAAGTTGGTAAAGTAATAAGAGGTTATTTTTTAACTCATATTGTATAAAGCATTTCTCATATTAGACAATATTAGGCTAAATATCTGACGAATCATCATTACTTGAGCTCGGACTAAACAACATTAATCTGTTTAAAATGACGTGGTATCTTATAGAAAAAAACTGTTTACATTCTCCGTAACTGTCCGGTTTTTAACAGAAGACCGTTAAGGGGCAGAAATTTCACGTTAGCAAATTCTTAAGAAAGAACATTCTGAACTTTATCAAAGGTATTTTATGTTCTGTATAATTTGGTTGCTAGACACAAAAGATCTGCCATAGTTCCAGCGCTATTTTTCAGTAAGAGTTCAAAAACGTTACTTCTACTTTTATTTAATCATTAATGAAGATTCTTCAGCCATGATATTGTTCGTCAACGAGGACCACGTATTGTTTCAGTTCCAGTTTCAATGACTTACTTATGTAGACCATATTTTTCTTAGTGCCTTAAGATATGGCTGAAGTATTCAAAATTTTTTTTCGTATAATGAATAATTTTAGTTTTGAGTTCATGGCCCCGTACAAAAATATAGTCTAAGATACACCTATGACAGTCAACTTCTTGAAACTAGAATTTTCTATTTTCTTTATAATAATTCTGCAGATGAGCATTTAAATAATATATCAACTATTACTATGTATATATGTAAAATGTTTATTGATGTTTGTGATTCCATTGAGAAATTATTAACTAACACAAAGTGCTTTCAGTTTATTTTATTAAATGTCATTTTTACTTTCAACCTTAGTTTGTTAAATCCCGAAAATATGATGGAAAATATGAGATCGAAGACAGAGAGCTGGCAAACGATAGAGTCATATATGGTTCAAGTCCTCATAGCGAATAAATTAGACCCAGAAAAGAGAACCAGAAGCTAGGCTAATAAATAGTGCAGATATCAAGAAAAAGGTAGTTAAAAAGTGGAAGTCTAGACGCAGATCGAAAATCACAAGAGCATGGCTTGAAATGCCATCATAAAAGAGACCTTGTTCGAAGTAAGGCGGAAGTGATTCCGAGGGGGAATAGGTCGAATAGGGGGTGTTTTAGTTCGCATACTACATATTAATGTTGGAAAGTCGGGCACCATTCCGACGACGGTGGGTTTGATGGTGCATAAAGCATTCTACCTCCTCACCATAAAAAAAATTAAGATTATAGTTTGTTTATTCTAGGACTGTGAACCGGTGTGGAGGCGGAACCGCTGCCGTTTTGATTGAAATGAATTACTAATTGATTCATTAGTTTTACAAATTTATCTTATGAATTTAAATTTTTAACTTATTTTTTGAACAAAACTAATGCTGCTGAGTGCTGGAGAATTAAACTGAATTACTGTGGAAATTTTTGTGGTTTGTTATGAGACTGACTGGACATCTTTTAGTGAGTTTGAAGTTGATGGCAGTTGGTATGTGAAGCATATTTGGGTAAAGTTGGTGATGTTTAAAGAAACTAATTTAATGTGTAGGGATTTAAGAATTAAAAATCAAAAGTCAAATGAAAATATTCAATTAAATAAGCATCCTATAACATGCTAATCTGGTTCAGTGATTGAAATTTTATGGTTAAATAATGCGTAATTAATAGCGATTTCTTATTATTTATATTTTGAATGAATTTCTAATAAATACTCATAACTACAAATTGCTTTATTTTTATTTAAAACACGTTTCCTACAATTATTTTCCATCTATATGTTAAGACTAATGAAACCGCTCATTAACAAATGCATAAAAAATTTATTTCAGTAATTTTCGACACTTTTTTATTGGAATAAAAATTCTATTTAAAACGAAAAAGTCAAAAGATCAAAAAACATTTAATCTCTCAATGTTAAAAATAAAATTAAATATACGAGTACATATAATTTAAAGCATATGCTCGACATGAAATGCTAGCACACATATGTCACACATGACACTGTGAAATGAAGTTGTGATCTGGAGGAAAGACCTTCTCAAACGCAATGATACATTACAGTGGAAGTCAACTTGCAGCTCATTATCGCGTGTGCCAGAATAATAAGGACTCAGCGCTGTGTGATGCACGTAGCATCAAAGTTCCTTCATCGATAATAAAAAAATTCAAATTGTGCATTTTTCGTTAATCGCTATGACGACTATTTGATTCCAAAGAAGCAGTCATTTGGGCTTAAGTTTTAAGAAGAACGTGTCACTGGAGTGAAGGCTTTTTTCATCTGCAATCTCAATCTCAATCGGGAAGCAGATTTACTGCGAGCAACATACAGCAAAAATGGAAATTTATTCGTGAACTGTTGAATGTGAGGGAAAAAACACAATTTCTGGTATTAACGAATATGAAAATTTTAAAATACAAATTCATTACAGAATTTTTGGAATCAAGTTGGCTTCCTACGTTGTGGCAGTCACAGAAAACAGGGATTTATTTTGTCAGCTTTAACACTTTCAGCAGGAATGGTAGCATTAAGGCTTGCATGCAGTCAGCGGAAGTGCAAGTCATTTAAGTGCAATGTACAAATATTTTTATAAATATATATATATATATATATGTATATATGAGAAATATGTATATCAAATTCATAAGAACTGAATTTTAGTTTCATTAAACCCTACTTGGTCAGAGTCAACTTTAACTTACTCTCGATAAAGAGATTGAAATTGTAGGCTTATTTGAATATTTGCAATGCAGCAAAAATTTTTAAAAATTATTTTTAAAAATTTTCTCTTACTCTTGAAAAATATTTGCAAATTTAAAATGAATAGAATTTTAGAGTAAAAATGGTATAATTTTTTACTTGCCAACAGGAGCACTTCAGCATATTTGCACTTCACTTGAATATTTGGAAAATGTGCAAGTGAAGCTCTCCTTTGCTCAGCGTTTCACAACAGTTTTTTTCCGACAACGAAAATATTTGCTACATTGTTTATATTTTAGTTTATATATATACATGTGTACATATGTACATGTTTATATTTTGTAAATAAGATTTTCTCTGTGTTAAATCTATCTGAAATAGTACATTTTTACGTTAAGTACATAAACAAAAAATTTCATTTCGTTCTCTGGTCCTTGTTGTCGCTCCCAGGGTTGTTATTTTAGCTCTTGAAAGTAAAATTTGTGCAAGTGTGTCAGTGTCAAAATTGACAGTTGATAGTTTGTTACAAACATAATAAATCACTCCGAACCCACCAAGAAGTACAACTAAACTGGAAATCTTTTGTGTTCAACAAGAAAATTGATATTTTACTCGGTTAATGTGTTTATAAAGGGCGGCACTTAATTTTATGCATAGAGAGTTTTCTTTCACTTTATTTACGAGTATTTTTGTTTTTTTTTCTTACTTCTTCACAATAGACTAGTAGTGTCCATGGTTTCAAGGACAAAAGCCTTGAACTTCAATTCTAAATATGCACAGTGAAAAACATTTACTGACATTCTTGGCGCAACATTCCGTGTAGCACCTAAGCCCATCTTAGAAAAGCCTCCCATTCTTCTCTGCTCTTTGCTTTTTCTTTTCAGTTTCTTAAATTCAATTCCTTTAGATCATACTGGACACTGTTTCTACATCGTTTTTTCTGCCTTTCTCTTCTTTTGTTACTTCTGATATCATACTCGAATATCTTATGTTGGACTCTTGTTTCTAGCATTCTTATAACGTATCCTAGCCACCTCGGATAGAACAACTTTAATGACGTTGGCTTTGCCGTGGAAACAGAAACGGCTATAGCTAGCTAACGTCTTGTGATGAATCAGAATAGTAGAAATCCACGAGTGTAAATGCAGTATATCGTTTGGATCTGTCTGTGTATAGCATAATCTAATATGTGCGACAGAAATGTATTTTATCAAATTTTTTTTAATGGTTTTAGGTGGATTTGTAATCTGATTCTCTAATAACAACTGATTACAGTTCTAGAACTAGCGTTTTAAAAAGATGATAAAAGTTTTTCATTTTTACGAGAAACGTATTAGCTGTCTTCAGTAAGCGTTTTCGATTATTCATAACGTATAAACTTTTGTATATAATATATACAGTATGTTATATACTTATGTACATACGCATTTTTCTCCAAAATCCCCTCCTTAAATTGCAAAGGAAAGGGTTTTACAATTGTTTCTTAAAAAAAATTCTTCCTTCAAATAGATGAGAAGAGGAATTTTGCGCAAGATGTGTAAAGTAAAAATATCTTAAAGTAATATATCTTCAAAAACTAATTTTTCTGTCCAGAACTGTTAAACCAAATCACTTTACTTTCAGATATCCAAATATAATGGAGAAAATGAATATGCAGAAACCTCAAACTAATCTTAAACCGCTGAAAAATCTATAACCCTTGACACTGACTCACTCGAAAAACAAGATTAAAGAAAATAAATTTTTTTACTATATATAATATTGTTGTTATTATTGTTTGTTTATTTTAAATTTTGAATTTAGATCATTTTATTGAGACAGATTTCTTGTTTTTTACTCCGAATCTGTTGGTGTTATTCAAATACTGAATATGGCAGAGGTTGAAATTGAGCCTTACCCCTATAACCGGGATTAGTATAGAACTTGTACTTGATAGTATGTATTAACTTAAATTTTCCAGTAGCTGCATTTCTATTCTGGTTGCGGTCCACAACGACTTTAATTAAATCTCTCAAAACATTTGGACATATACACGCTGTTACCTCAGTAGAGGAAGATAAATCAGGATTGGAATTGATTTCCAGTAAAATCGTATTAAGTTTCTCATCTAACATAAAATCGCAGCCAAATAGTTCGAACTCATTTTTAACAACATACAAGCCCATCAAACTAACCTCAACTACCGCTTTCAAGTTTCTTTCAATGGCGCGCACAATTTTAGTCTCCCAAATTTTTTTCTCTTCATAGTTTTGGTCCAGATATAATTTGAACTCTTTTAAAGACCACATATTATGAGAAGGCAAATTTTTGTTGCGATTCACTTGATTTTGACAATATCTTTGAATGGCATTATTAGTGAGATGTATCGACTTGTCAAAATCTTTTAGCTGAAATTCTCTGGAACTAAAACGAAGATAGCAGTCGTCATATAACCAAATGCAAATCTTATCCTCAGTTATGGTTTGCAACATGTACACCCGCATATCGAACTTGGTTTTATATATTAACATTGGACGTTCTGTAAAATTTTTAGAAATTAACAAGCATATATATGTAAAGAATAATAGTTTACTGTACAAGGCTTTGTATAACTTACCAATATACTTCTGAACAATAAAATACTGATGACTATGCCTATAGGCATATCGTAATATATCTTGAAGATTGTTTTTAATAACGATACCGTATCCTCGGCATTTGTAACTTGGTTTCATTATCCAAATATTATAGCAGCCATCCCACTCAAAATTTTCATTTAATGCTTCTAGTTTTTCTAGTATGAACTTTCCTTTTTCAACAGCAAGAGCAAGATCTTTTTCAAACATCTTTAGTTTTTCCTCATTATGCAAGAAATTTATAGCATTTTTCATGAAAGCTTCCCATTCTTTTACATTTGGTTCCCCAGCTCTTCTAGGAATGTATTTTTTTTCTTCATAACCATTCTTCAAGTAGTGCTCCAAACGAGTTAAAGCGAAACTGATAATATTAGATGGTATCGTCCCTAAGCTATTATCTATTATAGCATCTGCATTAGAATGATTTAAGCATATGCAACGAATAACACAATGGCATAAGGTTCGCCTATATTCTTGTGTGAATGGATAATTAACAGGTGAGTAACCATTTAAGTTAAAACAACGTGGATGACTAATAACGCACTTTTCATCCTTTTGTTTAGATTTTGCAATCTTAACACAGCCTAATAATCCGTTTTTAGTAGTGAAGTCTACATCATCTCGACGGTGAGTACGATTCCTAAATGGATAACTGTGCGCAGCAAACTCATTGTACGAGTTTCCTTGCCAAACAAAGTTGGCTGGGTATTCTCTTAACGCTTTAGTCATGGCCATTGTATTATAGTTATTTCCCTGGTTACTCACCATTGGATTGAATGATAGCTGCAACAATTCTTGGTATCTGCTTGGCGCCAATTTCTCTATCCAGTTACGCTTTTCCAATTCCTCTCGTATAATGTTACAGTTATACGCCATGGTGTAGACACGTTTGTTAAAAATTGCCTCCTTCACCTTCATATTAAGAGAGCAAGAAAGCATTTCTATGCTTCTACTTAATATCGGTAATACCTCTAAAGGCTTACGAACATGACCTAGACTCTCAACGCTTGGAGATGTAACGACTGTGTAATCTTTAGCCGAGTTTTTGTAATGGGTGGCCATAAATGGAATTTTATATAATTTATTCTGTGCAGAGTAATTAGCCATTGTCATTTTAATAGCTTTGTGAAAAGAGGGTGTGCGGGGGATGGTGCTACGATATATTTCATTTAATGATCTTCCACTATATCTTTCTGCAGATACATTTTTCACTGTTTGGTTCTTCACTTTACCGTTATCTATGAAATAATAACCTATTTCGGCTTTCTTGACTTCGTTTGTGCTAGGTACTGTTCTATACATGGGATATTCGCGATTTAATCTCGAGCCATCTGCGTTTTGTGCTGTATCAGTTTTGTTTCCATACCTCTTCGGAGTCGCCATATTTCCTTAACAATTTGGTCCTTTTAATTGAATGTAACCATAGAATTAGAAAATCTGTCTCAACAATCTAATTCCTGAGAATAATTTAAGGAAAAGGAGTGCCGAAATGTGTGGAACTAATAGCCGAAATTTTTGTATGTACTGAATATTTTTAGAAATAAAATGATATTCTAAAAAAAATTTTGAAAAAAATCTAAGCTTGCTAAGCAGCAAAAAAAATACATTATATAACTTTAAAAAAATGAGTCAAGTAGAATCGCTTTGGTTTCTGGTTTAGCTAGAATGCCAATATCTCAAGTAGTGAAAAAATAACGCTTTAATAATAATTCATATAAATCCCCCTCTTAATTTTTTTAAATATAGACTAATAGCTGCTCCTAGTTGATAATAGGTAAAAGTTATTACCGCCGACATAATACGAAAATATTTCTTAGTTTTAAGTAAAGTAGTAAATAGGTATAAAATTTGGGATTACAGAGTGCATTTACTGCTCTTGCCGTCTTTTTATCCATCTTAATATTTTCAACCTAAAACAATACACAAAGCAAAATTACCTGATATGTTAAAAAGTTTGATACTCATAAACATACCGATGATCCCACAGGCCTACAGGGTTATTGTACTACCATGTTAGTAAAAAACTCAGGGGTTAAAACCACTTTGAACCTTTGACAAAGCCAATAATGTTATTCGGAGAGAGGACCAGAAGTTCGCCAAGATCTTTCTAAAAGAATGCCCTTAAAGTATTAAGGTGGCGCCACGTATGTGCTGGAGAGAAAAAAAACCGTTGGGAGGCACTTTCATCGTACTCACCATAACTGCGGCAGATATGGTTAAGAGGAAGATTTAGTTTCCTAGCATGGTTACCTAAAATACAATGACCTGTAAGTAAACGTACTACAAGACTGATATCTCTACCGGTCATCTCAGTGAGAGAGTTTCAATCATCTCTAAATATATAAAGGTTTGAGCATCTAAACTAATCAGTAAAATAGTTCATCATTTCAACTGTTCATTAGCTCCACTTAGAAGTATGAGGAGGATTTGTCGATATCCGTTCTATAATATTTTAAAATAAAAAAGTGTCATTATAAGATTTAACTTAAGTTAACTTAAGCCAAGTCTATATGCCTCAGTCTTACTTGTTCTTTTTGTATACAATTGGATTTTTGTTGGCTTCTATGCCAATTTCATTCTGTTTTAAGTCATGGAAGCAAAAACATCGTCATAGCAACTCCAAGAAAAGCGACTTCACGTCGGGTCAGGAATCATGTTTAACATCTGCTGTAATAATCTGCTTTGTAAAGGAATATAGATTGCTAAGTTTTTCCTATGGGGATGTGATCCCCATATGTATCAAGGCATATATAGAGGAAGGAGAACAGTACGTCGCTTCGGAGAATTCGCGCCAGGAATCTTGTGTAATACCCGCTTAAGCAAATCTATATTGTAAAGGAATGTAGATTATTAAGTTTTTTCCTGTGTATCAAATCAAGGTATACCTAGACGAAGGAGAACAGGACATCGCGCCGGGAAACTCCGCTTTAACAATCTCTATTGTAAGTATTTCCTATGTAAATCAAATCAATGTATATCTAAAGGAAGGGGTACAGGTGCTGCTTTCAACTCTATAAAATTACGATCCACTACTATTTACTACTACTTTGCATTACTACCCCTACTACCTAACTCTGGATATTTCCTGACATTTAATACTAGGCATTAGCGCAGTTATACCATGCTATACCAACAGAAGTCATAGTGTTAGCAGTACTAATATCGGCAGCCGTTAATAAAATGAAACAGAAGATGGGGATGAGGATGAGGATGAGGAACTCGTAGAATAAAGACAAAAGTGTTTGTAAAATGAAAAAAAATTGTTTTTCTGATTCATATATTTTCCATCATCATAATTTCGAGAAAGATTAGGATATCTTGTTCGATATTACTTGTTAATTAATTATTCATGTTGTAGATGCAAGACCCAAAAATTCTCTTATAGTTTTATGTATTGAAATAAATAAAAGTTTTCTAATTATTCTTATTAATACTCTATCTTTCTAAGAAGAAAATGAAAAGAAAAATCTCCTCTTGAAACTATACAAAGTAATAACAAAAATACTAAGAAGTTTTGGCAAAAAAGTTAGTTTGAAAATCGATAATCGCAAGAGTTTTCCGAAGCGGATATCTATTTTTATCAGCTCAATATTGATTAGACAAAAAAAAAAAAATTAGTATAAAATAAAAAAAAGGATATTCATGGAAGAAGAAGATTGACAGTACGAAAATACAGCAATTTTGTGATTGCAAGTAAGTTTTATAGATTCGTAATTCCTTAAGGAGTAGCATAAGCCAAAAAAAAGAAGGATAAAAAGTATATATGTATGTATGTATGCGTATGTAAGTATATAAGTATGTAAGCAAATAAAAGCGAAACAATATAAAAAGTTCGCTTTATGCTCAGACTAAATCGTAAAATAAACAAAAGTGGTCAGAAAGTTTTGCGACCCAAAATTTTCGCTAACGACCGAAAGTGTTGCAGTTTTACTTTAGTACCGAGATACCCAGTTGAAATGGTTGACGATGGTTTATATTGTTGTTGTCCTGATTGTTGCATTGTTGTTTCTGTTATATTTGTTGTTGCTGATTGTTGTTGATTGTTTCAGTTGTTGTTTCTGCTTACAAGATTGCCTTCGGTGTTGCAAAAAGTTTCCATTTGTTTATTTTCCAAGCAAAATTTCTTACATTTCGTCCTTTTGACTTCGTTTTTAATTGCACACTGGAGTTTGTTCATAAATTATTTACTATAAACACACATTTTTTTTTCTTCCAGTTTACAATTAAGATTGTTCTTATATTCCTGAAAAATATTGAAATTGAATAATTTTTAAACGAAAAGTCGAATGCATCTTCCTCTGAAGTTTGCGAGTAGTTATATAGTCTTCCTTGAAACGAAATACAATCATTTAATTAGTTAAAAGCGGAATAAACGTTTTAAGATTCGTATTGTAGAACTTTTACGCTTAAATAAAATTATGAGTTTAAAATATAATATTACAGAGGTGGTAAGAGTACTAAATTTCATGTATTATAGTATTTTTTGTTGAAAAAAATAAATTTATATAAGAAAAAAATACAGTTATGTCGCTCTCCCTTCACTTTCAAATATGACGAATATTTATTATAAGGTCTAAGAGGTGATAAATTACACACACACACACACACACATATTATAGCTATAACAACGACCTTCAACTGGCATTTAAAATTTATAATTCTCATTTACTTTTCACTACAATAATTAAAAAAATATTATTGTAATACGAATGAATGATTGATTCTAATTTTAATATTATAAATTATCTGTTTCGTGTAAGTCCCACACCGCAAGGGCAATATACTTTTTCCAAGCTCTGTTTTATTTTCAGTTTGAATTTTATTAGTAAATTTTTCATTAAACTAAGGTCTACGTGTTCTCATGTAGACATTTTTTTTGTAAAATAATTTATGTTTTTATCTGCTATTGTCTCAAGCGAGATAGTTTGGTAACCGAATGACCAGGTGATCAACCATATGAAAATACTCGGTACTACTAACTGATGACAGTCACGGTTGCCACTTGAAAATTTTTTTCTGTACCAAAATTGGTTTAAAAAGGTACCATTTCTATAAAAAAAGGTCCAAAATTTTTTTGGACATTGTTGTTTTCTCGTTCTGTGTTTTTTATAGTGTTATAAATGAACAAAATATAAAATAGTGCAAAGTTGCATTTAGAAAAAAAATTAATTGGAAATATCCACAATAAAATTGGGTCGTCAAAAATGTACCAGTTTTTTAAAATGAGTACCAAACGAAAAAAAAAAAAAAAAAAGTACCAATTTTGGTACTAAAGTACCATAAGTGGCAACCGTGATGACAGTATGCCACCACGGTTGCCACTTATGGTACTTTAGTACCAAAATTGGTACTTTTTTTTCCGTTTGGTACTTTGGTACTCATGTTCAAAAAATGGTACATTTTCTGCGACCCAACTTTATTATGGATATTGTATTGTTTTATACTTTTTGTACATTTTATATAAATTGTATTTTCTTATAAAAAGACAATAGAAAAATTTTGGACCTTTTTTTACAGAAATGGTACCTTTTTAAACCAATTTTGGTACAGAAAAAAATTTTCAAGTGGCAACCGTGTATGCCACTAATCGGACTGAGTGGACAACAAGCCACTGAACGGGTAGGCTGAATAGCGAGCTACTATTCGGGCTAACTGGACAGCAAGCTACTGACCGGGCTGCCTGGTGGACGCTACTGTGCACTGTCAAGGACGACTCATGTCTGTTATGCCCAACTAATTTTGCATTCCACTAATAATTTCTTATTATATTTACTCATTAAAAAATAAGTTTTTTTATTAAGAATATGCCATTGGTTAGTAATTTAGTTGTATAATTAACATTTTTCATGTTTTATTATTTTACCGATTATTTAATTTTTTATAAGACATGTAATTTTTTTATAATACCAACATATTTTCTAATCAATAAAGGTGTTATTTTTTTTATTAGGATAATGTCATCACTATATGTAATATAATGTTTTATAATTGAAATACTCTGCCTACATATTTGTTCGACAAGCTATTAAAGTTTTGCTTAGACATATCCAACTAAACTACTCCACTTAATTTGTATCTAAGGTGGCCATAGCCACGTACATGTGATTTTCCAACCAAGCACTTGAAATCTTCAACAATTTTATTTACCCAGCAGCAAATTGTGCATCAAATGAGGGCCGTACGTGATTCGCATTTTAATTAAGAAAATCATTAACATAGCAGACGACGAAATGTCAAAAGTTTTCACGGTTGTCATAACAAAGAAGAAGTAAAAAAAATAAACATACTGAAAATGTATCTGTGTATCTAAACACAGATACAAATGTATCTGCGCTCACAAGCACACATAGAATATATCTAAGAGGTAGAGTTTGTTCGAAATTGGGTCCATCTTATTTGAATTAAATTTGTATCAAATCAAAGTGACAAAATTTATCACGCACGTTCGATACCCAAAACAATTTGGACGCAAGAAAAAATATACGAAATCAATGATGATGACAGCTATTA